ATGTAAAGACCATGTTTAATATCATAAGCTAATCTGACTGAAGTTTCGTATGAGGCGTGTGAGTTAGGTAAGATTCCCTGTACCTGGTATCTACGCCAGAGACTTTCCTGTGATATTACAACTTTCCAGATCGTAGATGTTACGAATTTCCTGGGACAACCTCAGCACCGAGTTAGAATGACTATAAATTATTTAAAATAATTTAACTTTCCTGTGATAACCAAAGAAATGTTAGTAGTTTCTAAAATTATAACGTCTTACAAGAACCCAATTACTCGGAAAAGATGTTTCAAAACCAGGATATGAGCCATACACACTGTGTAAGGACTGATGATACTACCTTGTTGGCTAAGCTAAAATAGGTAAAGCGAGATTAGATAGAACTTTGGTCTACGTAACGAAAAATGTCAAGTTGAATTCTGAGGACAACAAACCTAGAGAAAATCAGACAGATATAATTGTCTAATCGTGGGTCATTAGAACCCAGCTGGTAAAACTCCATACATGGAATAATTGGTTGAGTGATCAGCCACCTTGGTCTCGTAATCTGAAAGTCACGGGTTCGATCACTAGTGGAGTCGTTAGTGTACACTAATGACGAATCTCAATATAGGACGAAGCAGCTGTCCATTAATCCCTGGTCTTCAATGATCATGCCTCTATAAACGACTTGGCACAGCCAATGGTGAGTAGACTTCGGTCTCCCTGAAGAAATGCTCTCTCTCTCTCTCATGTGACATAGCCTTCATAGCCTCTGCCAGTTGAGTCTTGTTCACTGCCCTCACACAGCTCACATGTCCCTCATATAAGTTGAAGGGTGAATCCGAACGTCTGCAGCTAACAACCAGACTGGTGAACTTGCCAATCTACCCGGGGCAGCTGAGCGAGCGTGACTGAAAAACCTGCAGCACACATGAGATCCAGAATCCGAACAAAGTGAATGGTGTATGGACCAGGCTCGGTAGTTGAGATCCATGAGAATGGGGCTTCGGACGTCTCCTCACTGCAATGAGGACATCAGACATTAAGATAAAAGCTCGGCGGATGGCCTCCTAAGACAACCAACTATTTCAGTCTAGGCCTCCGGGCAGTGTTCCGGTCCCCAAGCAAACTTTAAGATTTTTATGGTGCATTTCTTGGTGTCAATAATGTACTAAGTTTGTGTTTTAATGAAAATGATAGTAACAACTTAGAATAAATGCACAGTAACTCTGGATGAAGATATCGTGTTGTGGATAAGCCCACCTAATTTCCATTGAAGTGTCAATCAATATATAACAGAAGTGGGATATTTGGTTGCTCATTAAAGGACAATTTGTCGAAATGTGGTGCATTTCCCAGAGTGTTCCCTATGACTGTGAAAAATTAGCACTGAACATTGTTTTGAGAAAACTCTAATTAATTTCAATCACCCTTGACCTTTATAGTCCTCCATTTGTGTTTGGTAGAACGACTGAGAAAATGGCAATGCAGATTAGTTGGCAAAGTTGTAAAAATTCGATAAAACTACTTTCTTCTTCCGCCTACTTTTGTGTACTACGTTGGTGCAGGTGGGCCTTAAGCGATGTGTACAGATCGAACCCCCCCCTTCTGTCCTACCAAATCCCGACCGACAACTGGTAATTTGACGTGGTGGTCGCTGGGCTTGCATATCGCAATGACCCAACAAGCCACACTGGCTGGAACTATTGTTCTTGCAGGTCCTACCATGCCAGGAAGGTTGTTAGAATAGCAATTAGATTAAAAGCAGTTACTGGCATAGCGCAAGAATCTTTCTTACACTATGCTGGGAGTCTGAGGGCGAAGTCGTACTTCTGGAGAACAGGGGTCTAACAGCAGTGAGGTGTTTCCCTCAGATGACCAGAATGCCAGCTATGATGTCTCTTCAATCCGGAGAGAAGGGGTTAGGAAAGGTCAACCCCAAAAATTGTACATCCCGACATATTCTACGATGATCCGTAACCGGCGGTAAATTTACCAACATGGAATCAATCCAGGAAACCAGTTCATACAGGCCGTGTGTGATCAGCTTCAAGCAGTTATCCCCTGGGCTCTACGGTCACGCAACACTAACCAACCCTCTTTCTGTTTCAGGTAGCCGAGGAATCAACCAACTTCCACGGTGTGGCCAGCTAGGAAGTAACAGCCGCCCACACACTTCACGTCAATCAGTCAGTCCTACCGAAGGAATAGATCAAAGAATTACCTAACCGCGAACAATGTATTCAAATATAATTGTGACAAACCTTATAGTATCACCGATGCAAAACAGTAATAAATATTTCTTAATTGAATCTTATTTAGAACTCGTAGTCACAACGACGTTTCAGTGACGCAGTGCTCATCAGCGCCACGTTGGAGGTTCATCAGATGTCACTCTCCAGATCAACGGACTCCTAAATCGTGCCTAGTTTACTGGTAAGTTGGACAAATGCGACTAACAACTCCATTCCGTAAAATAAATCAGTGCTATTCAGACTTTGAAGTTTAAAACCGTATTTTCGAATTGGAACGGAAAAAGAATGCGAAAAGGCCTCGTCGGCGTTAAGCGGAAGACTTCAATTATCACAGTAACTTGGAGATTAACTGCTCTCTTCGTAGTGAAGTCAGCACAGAGTCAGTCAAATGATGACTAATCTGTTGGTTTTGATAATGTTTGATTCAGTCATGGTAGTCAGCCCGTCATCCATCAAAAAACACATCCTTCTAACAAGTCTGATTTACAAATGTGATGGGATACATGAAATACTACTAGATGTATGTGAAGAACAACTGCAGATGACATCAAGTAAATGTGTAAATGAAAAATTAATGACGGTAAGTAAGTTGTATATATTTGAAGTTTTCCCACTTATATACACTACACACCTATATTATTATTATTATTAATACTATGAGGAATAGGACATACAGTAAAAAGCCTCTTAATACTATCTATACGCTTTCCGCTAATTCCGGATATGCATTTAGCAGGGTGTTTTAGTGCCTTGTTTCAAGCGAACACTGACTAGTCAAAGACTGCAGCACACACATACACACACGCATACACACACAATTATTGAACGATTTATTTTCATTGTGAAATATACACAACCCTTCTCTGACTCTCTCTCTGTCTACCGGTTGTGTGACTAGTTGGAGTAACTAACTAGCATGGAGGAACAGATGCTGCTGTGCACACACACTTTAACTAACTAACTATCGAAGACTTGCTTTGTTTGGGCATGAATATCAGTTTATAGAAAGTAAATTAGAAACATGAATTTTCCCTTAAAACAAAAATCGCAAAAATCATCTATTTGCGTGAAAAATGTCACAGACATAGGCTTAGATATATACATATATATGCATACACAATCTCTATTTAGCATGACGCATACAAACAGCATTATACACACATACATACATTTATAATTCTTATCACAATAGCTATAATAAAATGCTTGTTATATACGCGCCTTTGACTGGTTGGATGGAGACGAGAACCAATCAGAAAGTAGATGGTATTCTAAATTTATAGTACAATACATAGACATTCACGAAAATAATCGATAAAAGTAAATATCTATCTATCTATCTTTACAATGAGTCAGCCCTGGGGAGGAAATCAGACCAGATAGATATGAGGACAGAAGATAAATTCTCAACAAGTCAACGCATATGCACACACTAGTCTTCATTATTTTGCCCCACATTAATATATTACTGTTCCCACTCTCTCTCTCTCTACAGAAAGGGGTAGACAATAAATAAATAAATTTAGTCTAGAGATGATTACAACATACAACAGAGATAATGTTAATAGCAGGATATGCTGATCACCCTAGGGCTTTTAAATAACCGTAGTAGGATGAGGTTTGGTTATAGAACAACTGCGCAGACAATAATTATCTCCATTATATCTGTTCATCTATCTAAGGGAGATTGTAAATGTCATAAGGAGTGATAAGGAGGAGTATAGTACAGTATAAAATACGCTTGAATACATTTACCCAATTGTATCGATTGTATCGATCATCTATTTGCGTAAACGACTTCTGTTTTTAATGGTATGACAAAAAAAGGTGCTATGTTCAACTATAAACAGCAGTATAATATATTGATGCCAATATAAGCGCTAGTGCATAAAACAAGTTATCCCTAAATGATTCCCCGTCCATCTCTAGCATCAAACTATTTGAGCTAATGATTGATAGTACTGAATTATGTATGCGTCATACTTTATGAAGACTATTCAGTTGACCGGTTTTGCAGCCACTGACTCGGTCACTGGTTCGAGCCGCACTCCACCTATTATTTTAGCCTGGGTAACCTCATGTGATAAGTCTTCTTAGTTTGCCACATGAAAATATCTCTTCCAAGTGATGAAAAGTTCAAATAACAACTCGTCTGCTCAGATGAAGGTGTATAATCGGAGCACGACTCGCAACTCGGAACCGATTCCGACTATAAGTTGAATATTTATGAAGCTGATAAATCATACATCCTTATTATGCAATGATATATAGTGACTGATATATCATAGCATTGAAATGAGAACCCGCAATAGCTTATAGTCGGCAAGCGATATATAACATTCTAACCTATATGTTGATTGAGAACCATAAGGCTTAGCCTGAACAAATGTAAACAAATCATTTTTAAAGAGAGAGAGAGAAGAAAATGTACGCATATTTGTCTATGGGGGACAGTAATATATATATGTGTGCATAAATTTATACATATATATGTCTATCACACTAAAACGTGAAAACTAAAGGGTATGACTAGTATTAATTCTAGAGTGTAACACATTTGCGCTATACACAATGAAAAAGCGAAAAGTAGAGAAAATGAGACAGAGACAGCGAGGGAGAAAGAAGAAAGAGAAAACTCGCTGTATTATCACATCAGACAACCTAATAATAAGACAAATAAACGACTAGGAGTAGGTTTAAAACAAAATGCTAACAATACTACTTATAAAAATAATAATATATAATAAATAAATAGTGACTTACTTTTGCAGATGAATTGATATCACTTAAAGTTTTTTTAGCTTTAGAACCCGGTGGACGACCTCGTCTACCACCTGAAGTAGTTAAAGGAGGCATTGTAAAATTTGATGAAATTGGCAAACTATTAGGTTTACCATTAGGCGTCATAGATGTAGGCGTTTGTTTAGCTGCTAATGGATGCAATCGTGTCGGTGTGGCAACAACAGCAACAGGAGGATGAGGAGTAGCAATAGTAGTAACCGTAGTACCACAAGTAGTATTAGTAGAAGTAGTTGTATTACCCGAAGAATTACGATCATTCATTGAATTTGTTTTCGATAATTTACATCCGCTAGAGGCTAAATATGCACTCGACGCAGTATTAGGTGGTAACAATTTTTTATTTGACATCTGAGATGGATGAATTGTATTCGCTTTACGATATAATCTTTTACGTTCACCTGTTTCATCGAGAATATAACGTCCATCAATTGTTTTAGCTAACTTTCCGTGTGTAGCTTCACGATCAAGGCATACACGAAGTGTTGCTCCAGTTAATTCTGGTGATGACAACGACGATGCTGGTGGAGGTGGCGATGATGTTGATGAGGAATTACTTGTACAATTGTCATCAGCATTACTGCTGTTGTTGTTGTTCTTACTGTTATTATTATTGAGAAAAAGTAAAGCTCTTTCAACTTGAAATAAACTATAACCCCCATTTGGACCTGGACGACAATATGGTATTAAATTATTGCCTGTTTTACCAGTAGATGGATTCAATAAATTATTACTACTTTCTATAAGAAGATGCATCGCTTCAATTAACTTACCAGATACACTTGGTAAATTTGTATTCCCTATCCCTGATATCGCTGCGGTTTTACGCCATTTCGATGGATTTCTATAACTTAAATTCCCTTTATAATCAACACAGACAACTGCACCAGCGTCGGCTAATCGTTGCAGACAAAATTGGGTTTGTTCATAGCCAATATTTTGATGACGTTTTAATAAACAGGAAATACGCTCAAAATCAGGTCGAGCTTTTCTTTCACGTAGTTTGTCAATAGCATCTAATATAGCATCACGATGAAAATCAACCGCTTCCAAGGCTTGTATATTTCTGACATTAGTAAATTTTCCTGATGAAAGTGGTATTGTTGTATACAATGGTTTTTCTGCTTTCACTAGAGAAGAAGAAGGAGAAGAGGAGGCGGAAGAAAACGTCACCGGTGCCATCGGACAATCATTATTGACACCTGGTGTCGTTGTTGATGATGATGACGACGGTAATGATGTCGATATTGGTGCTGAATAAGGCGTAGTGGTATTTATATTTGTCGATAGTGTAGAAAATGTTGTTGTCACTGGTAGGATAGCATTAGAATTGCTTAAAGGATATAAAGTTGCCGTGTATAAGGGTGTTGTATAATTTGATGATGATACTAAGTAAGAATTTGTTGTCTCCGTATTTTGATTATTTGATAATGAGGAGGATGACGCTGATGTTGATGACGAAGGGGATTGAGGAGGTATACTCAAAGAGATGGGTAGAACACCAACTGAGCTTGTCTGAGCTTGATGATTACTAAATGCGACAGGTAGAGTAGGCAATACCATTGGTTGAGAAGATGACAAAATATTTGATGACATTGAAGTCAGTGATAATTGATTATTTGACGGGTATAATGACACAGGCACTGTAGATACATTTCCTGATGAAGAGACAGTTGAAGCGAATGTTGACAGTGAATTATTATTACTTTGTCCCGAAGGAAGAAAATGAGACATTGGTGTACCGTATGGTGATGGTACAGATAGATTTGATGAATTGGAAGACAATAGATTACCGGACGTGGGAGCAAAAAATGGTAGCATAGGACCTTGAAGTTGTGGTGGACTTGATAGTGGAACTGTACATGTTAAATTTGTTGGATTTGTAGAAAAGTTATTAGATGATAATAAAAATGGTGTTGTATTATTCATAGATTGTGTTGACGGCATCAGATTTGTTGGCATAGATAGAATTGTTCCTGGAGTATTTGGCATTGATGAAGGTGAAGCAGGAAACATATTGTTGATAGCGACATATGTAGTTGGACCTCCATTTTGTGCTGTAGTTAACATAGTTGGAAAATGTGAAAAATTGTTGGAACTAAATGACATGCAGACTGTTTAATACGCTGCGTAGGTAGTATTCCAAACTTGAACTCATATAACGCAGCTAAGGCATACAAAGTAGAAGTGAATTAAAATAAATGGTAGAGAAAAGATGCATTCGCTCAATTCATGACCTAACAAATAAGCATTAAGAGATGTGTGTGGAGGGTAGCTGAACACTGTATATAAAGTAAGAGAGACAGTATATGTGCGTTAGTGTGTTTATCTATCAAGTAAATAAATAATGCTAAACTTACATACTTAACATACACATACACACCAAATACAACCAGAAGAGCCACACCTAAGATAGGCGATAACATCCACCCACACATAAACATACATTAATACACAATCAGCCTTGAATAACAAATAACAAGGGTGAATAGAATATAAACCAATCAAAAGTATGTTTGGTATTTCCTGATTGGTTAATAATAAAATAAGTGAGCGATACATTAATGCATAGTTAACCTAATGAATCTTATATAGCTAGGGGTATTATTTGACCTTCTCTATAGTATAAATAAGGCCTTCTCATTTATTGACCAATCAGAAGTGAGTAAAAGAGTGTGTCGGCAATAATTGCAACATTCCTAACCCATATTGTCTAGGTCATACAACTTTACATTGGTTAGCAAGACTAAATTCAATTGTATAATGTGTTATATTCAAAGGGGGAGAGAGATATATACAACCGCAGAATATTAATCAATAATTTTATACACAGGCGAACAATGAAATATTTTACGCAAATACGCTTTTTAGCTTATATGAAAATTCAACGAGAGAAAAAAACTCACTAACTAAGAGCGTAAGGTATTAAAAAGAGAGTAGACTAGCGTTTCTTCTTGCAAAAAAATACCATACCAAGCATTCATAGATTAATGTCAGTGTATATGTGCGCATGCACTCATGTTTGCCAACTGACAGTTGTGAAATTAGAAGGATAAGTAGGCACACACACTCGCAAAACAGCATGTATAATACAAGGGGTTGTAAGACAGCATCGGGTTATTTTTCTCTCTTTCTCCGCTCCGTGTCTAATTCTAATCACACTATCTATCTCTCTAAACGTGATGAAGAAAATCACTCTATCTTAGGCATGACATTTGAATTTTGACAAAATGAAAGAATGCCTGTAATTATGAAATGAAATAAATTTTTAAAAAAATAATTAATACTAGTTTTATACCTATAGAGATTTGTTGATTACTTCAAACTTCAAACCCAAAACCGTGATTACTATCATTACAATGGCTGTGTGAGGCTTGAAAAGTGTTTGGAGTTATAAAGAGCTCAGAGAAATTTTATTTTATTCCGTTGCGTTCCCAGTGGAACATGTAGGATTTAGGCTATGCGTTTTAAATTATTTCATTTAATTTTAGATTTTCCCGTCGATTGATTGGACCGAAGTGATCGCTTTCGCGTTTGAAGCTATAGGCACTGGGTTCGAGCCTCGACGGTGGAAACATCATTACTCACTACGGAGTGCAAGTACATCCAGCCGGTGGACGAGTCCCAAATAGGACGAAATGCGCTTCCTGGTGGATTCTACTGCTTTCAATAGAGCTGGTGTTGTTTTTTTGCTGGGTGGGATCACTAACCAGACACTCCTCATACCAAGACATTTTCTCTTTTCCGATCTTAATATCAGCTAAGCAGCTAACGTTTAGGAGTAAGTCGGATGGGAATCGACGCAGAGAATAGACTGACACACACATACACAACACAACATAAAAACGGAAAATTGTGACGAAGCGGATTGTTACAATTTGTGTAAAATAACTGTTTTCGGTGAATATATAACAAATAGTAATAATAATTAGTATATAAAGCACAGTATATTATTATTATTAATAGTATTATTACTACTACTAATACTCACCTTGACCTTTACTCAGTTCACTTGTTAACTTGTTCAATTCCATTCAAATAAAATTTCGTCATTAACCTTGGCAACAGGTAACAGGGACTATTTGGTTTTATATCAATAAAATATAAAAATCTATACACAGAATTATTAAACTTTCATTTTTTTCTCTACTAATGCAAAGGAGCTAGAGGGCAGGGGGACGGGATGTCTGTAGTGTTGTATAAATGAATAATTTTGATAGTGATACAATTGCATAATGACTTCTTGACCTTTTCAATCTTTGAAAAATGAGACTATTATATTACGTCATCAGTAGAAAATAAATATCTGTTTACTAATATCAATTTTTTTTTGTAAAATCTCAAGTATATTAAAGTAATTGAAAGAAATGGTTACTTCAACATTAGAAGGTTTATTATAAAAAATAATTTCAACATTGAGATGATCGTGTCGAAAAGGGGAATGAAAACAACAACAAAAGTGTGTAGTAGGACTTGAAAAAAACCTGTGATTGACTTACTTACCTACTTACTGGTCCGACGCCTTACTAGCCAGTCTACGATCATCGTTGAAGGTCTTATGGCTCAATCAAGTAGCATTCAGCAATGGACTAATTAGTCACCATTCAGAGGTCATGAGTTCGAATCCCGTTACAACTCAGATATTCATTCTCCCTTTTGCTAGTTAGTTAGTTAGATAGTTCTCAGCATATTTCTACTTCGTGTGTGATAGTTAACAAAGTGAGTGTGGGCTGAGGGGAGGAGTAAGAATAACATGACCTTCATTTGGAGAGGAGTAGTTTAATAGTACTTTTGTGATAGATAAAGTGACACATAGATAGTTGGTTGGATAGACAGATAGATAGATAGACAGATTCACACACACACACAAAGTGAGAGACATCTATTGATTGATGTGATGATCAAGATAAGTGTGAATAAATGTTCATTCGTTAAACTGTCCTGCACTCGATGATCACTGGAACAAACAGACAGTTGTCCTCGCATTCATATTGAAATATTACTAATTCATAGTGCGTCGGTGGCACAGTGGTTAGGACTCTCGCCGACCATGCACATGGTCCGGGGTTCGAGCCCACGCCGACGCACACCTGATATCTATGGTCGGCCTGAAAAATTTGGGCTACCGATATCCATGCTGAAAATTCCACACTTGTACCAAAAATACAGTGTGGAATCAAGCTGTAAATCAAAAAAAAATAAAAATAGTGTTGTTAGGAATATCACTTTGTATGAGGTTAGCCGTTGATGAGAATTCGGTTCCTTATGATCCGCTAATGTTCAGGTATTATATACTCACTCATCACTCTTACTACTAAGAGTCGAAATCAAGATCTTCAAGTTACGAGGTGAGAAAGTCAACTATTTAACCACTAAGGCCTTAATCCAATGATCTACCCATGAATTCAAACTTTTATCACTTCGCGATTTGTACTACCAGTGGCAACCAAAGTCATAGGAGGGTATTTGTCGTCACACAAACCTACTGGCTTCCATTCACCTCAGTGAATTGACTATGTTGTCAACGTCCTCTCCATATAACCGGGGTCATAAGTGTACACTGCTGGAGGGTCCTCAAACTAGCACGAGACATCTTTCTGGTTACTCAGTAGTTCTCTAACCTATGTCAATCTATGAACCGATTTGAAACCAACCCATTGTTATGATTTGATTATTTTTCAAAGTTATTCTGATGAGTCCCAAATGGGACGAAACGCGAATTTTTGATTCTATCGTTAGTCATTACCAACTAAATAATATAATCGATCATTTTTAGTAATTTATTACATAGTGATGAAAATAATTTTCTGAAAAAGTTATAACGTAGGGTACAGGGTTCAAGTTTCAGTGGAAAAATACACCTATTGCTCTCATCACTAGGGAGATTGCAGATGTACTCCAGAGGATGAGTCACAAAAGTTGAGTGAGAAACATGCATTTTGAATTTTACTACTTTTAGGCATTATTCACTAGATAGCATGAGGTAGTCAAGTTGTTCTCTTTTTGCTTAATGAATTGAATACTTAAATTCTCGGCAGTCCACGTCCCAACATCATGTGAAGCGGTGAACTCAACGCCGTCAGATGACAAGGTGGGCACACTATCTAGCATCAATCAGCTTCTGCATGACTGATTGATTACCTTTCAATCCTTAGTCAACTATATCGATTACATACATCAGCAGGAACTCGTCATTAAAACTTTTTGGAAATGTCAAATTTTGAAGGCATTTTTGTCTAATGAACAATGGAATTAATCGTCAATTAATTGTAATTGATGAAACAAATTTGCTTAAAAAATTATGCTTGATGGTAACTAGTTGTAGTGGAATTGAAAACAAGCATTTCGTCCCACTTTATAATCGGGACTCATCAGCTGATGACGTACTTGCGTCTCCAGTGGGTGATCACGTTCCCTTTCTCTCTCTCTCTCTCCCACGGAGACTCCAATTCTGCAAGTAACGTTTCAAATCCCAAATTGCTTGCAATCTACAATAATGTCTACAAACATTTACTTTTACACTGAATTTTTTTCCTCTACGTTCCCAGTGGAAGATTGGGCTTCAAACTAGAGCTTAGAAGTTTCCGTAGCAGTGGTATTTACTTTTTTTTGGGAGATGCGGTTGATAGCCTCATGCCCAGCCTTCTGTCTGCACCAGTCTTATTACTTACTGGATTAGCGAGGTAAAGAAGTGTGTCAGTAAGCCGGGGATCGAACCCCGAACCTCTGTGCCACCCACACACTAAAATTAGTTAGCACAAACTGCAGATTCTCTCTCTCTACATTATTTCATTTTGATTTCACGTTTGTAAAAAGTGGTGGGCAGGAGGAGGGTAAATTTGTTGAAATATGCATAAAAATGTTAAAAACTACATTTTGTAAAAATAAGAAACTGTGGATCGCTGGTATAGGCATTCAACTTCTGAATTCAATGGGTTACAAAGTTCGAACCCCAGTCTCCATTTATAGCAGTAAATGGCCAACAAAATAGTAGCAGTATTGTAACAACAGAAGACAAAGGCCAGGAAACAAATCGTTTATTAAGGAAATCAACACATATTTATAGATTTCTCGTGTACAATATTATAGATTATTGTTAGCAGAAAAACAAAGTCATCTTCGGATTGGTTGTTTCTCACTGAAAGTTAACCTTACACCATCTCTATATGTTAACTGTATCCGCCTACGCAAAGCCTCTGTGTTCTCATTTTTCTCACGACCAATATTGGGGACATAAACATTGATGTAAATTACTGTCCCACCAATTTTGCCTAACAGCCGGC